ACAGATAAGCAAACATACAGGATAAGACACTCTGCCTGCTTTCACAGTTTATAAATAATTCAGAACCACAGATTTGTTTATGTGTGTATCAGGGCTTGAACCTAGGTCCTCATGCTCTTAATTTGGCTTTCTTGGTCACAGTTGGTATTCTATCACTTGAGTTACACCTCTAGTCCAGCATTTTTCTGATTTATTGGAGTTGGGAGTATCTGGGACATTTCTTCTCAGGCTGCCTTTAAAACTCAATCCTCCAGGTCTCCTCCTGAGTAGCTTACAGGCATGAGCTGCTAGAACCAGACTGGATCACAGAATTTTATAACTGGAAGGAACCAAGCCTCAAGTGTTTCTTGGCCTTAAGTTGCATCTATACTGTAGGCCTCACATTTGCTAGGCAGATGATCTTAAGACTGTGGACTTCCTTTTGTGTGTGCTGGTCCTGGGGTTTGAACACATGGCCTGGGCATAGTACCTGAGCTGTTTTTGCTAAAAGCTAGCTCTATTACTTGAGCCACAGTTCCACTTCTAGCTTTTTGGTGGTTAACTGGAGATATGAGCCTCAAAGACTTTCTTTCCTGGGCTGGCTTTGAACTGTGATCCTCATAGCTCTGCCTCCTGAGTTGTCAGGATTACAGCTATGACCCACTGGTGCCTGGCTTGCGGGCTTGATAGGAACCATGTGAGACAATGCCAGGATAAATGGCATGTCTGCTTATTAGACCTTAGATGCATACAGGCTGTGTCCTGGTTTGAAATTTGACAAATACCGCACACTTGCAACATCTAGCTAGCTCAGGTCCTGCAGCCTTTGTAGACAGTGAGGCTGCCACGCTAAAGGAGAGGCCTTTAGATCCTGTGTATTCCACTTAGAGTGCTCCTGAGTCCTTCTTCAGGACATACGTCCTTGCTGGGCAGAATGGAAGCAACCCCAGGGAAGCCAAGGACAGGATTCTGGCAGAATTGGGATTGGCTGGGGAAAGCAGAAGGTAGAGTTAGTTGTTTTCATGTGGATAACCCACTCCTTCTTTTCCCGTAGAGCTTATCATCCACCGTGACCCTTGAACACTCTTCACTTCCTCAAGGAGTTGACATCTCTTATAAAAGCCAGTGTGGCGGTCCTGAGAAGGGGGAGGCTGGGGCAGCTCGGGGACAGTGCACCCATGTCAGAATCAACCAGACGGTGAGAGCCAGATAGGATAAGGTAGACAGAAAGTGGGAAGTGGGAAACTTAGGGAGGAAAAGATGGGGAAGAGGCACAGAGAATAGTCTGGGAGCAGGGTAATCATACCTTGTCCTTTGTGAGGGGGCTGGGTGTGTTTCTAGGAAGATGGGCGTTCGAATGACCCTATCCCTTAATTTACTAAGAGCTCTATGGTCAGCAGATTTGGGTGTGTGTGTGGGGGTGCAGGCACAAGTAGTCTTAGTTTGGTTCTTGTCCATCCTGTCCTCAGGTAGATTTCTGGGTTACTCTCCAAGCTAACAACTGCCTCCCAGGTCCCCATCTTCTGAGGCTCCGAGCCCTTGGCTTCTCAGAGGAGCTGATTGTGGAGTTGCACACACTGTGTGATTGTAACTGCAGTGATGACCAGCCCCAGGCTCCCCACTGCAGTGATGGCCAGGGACACCTTCAGTGTGGGATGTGCAGGTGAGGGCCTCCTCATTCCTTCACCCCTCTAGCTCCCTACCAGTGATGCCTCCTCCTATGCTTTCTGCCCATGCACTGGAGTCTATCAGATATCTCAGGACTCCACCTGAATGCTATGCCCTGAAGCTTTGCAGATATGCCCAGGACTTCTTCTTGGCCAACACCCTTTCATTTGTCCCTCCCTCCATCTTGGTACTCAACTCCCTGTATCCTTTGAGTTACTTGTTTCCACCTGTTTCCAAAACTTGGGTTTAAAGACTATTGGGGTTGGTCAAGTATAGTCAAACTGATGCACAGGTCTTTCTGCCTTCCCCTCCCAGCTGTGCCCCTGGCCGACTGGGTAGGTTATGTGAATGCTCTGAGGCTGAGCTATCCTCCCCGGATCTGGAGTCTGGGTGCCGGACTCCCAATGGAACAGGGCCCCTGTGCAGTGGGAAGGGACGGTGTCAATGTGGACGTTGCAGCTGCAGTGGACAGAGCTCTGGGCGTCTGTGCGAGTGTGATGATGCCAGCTGTGAGCGACATGAAGGCATCCTTTGTGGAGGTACCTGGAGCCTTTAGAAGGGTGGGATCAGTTGGGCCCTCCCACTCTGTGGACAGTGAGAGCTTGCCAAAGATTCTGGTGTGTAATTTGGAGGATAGGCCCAGCACACTTGAGATGGAGTGAGTGTATAGGCCTATGATGGTATGCACTGGCTAGTTATGAGGGGAGTATGATTGTCACCCTGTGCATGGCTCTATCTTAGGTTTTGGCCACTGCCAATGTGGAGTGTGTCATTGTCATGCTAACCGAACGGGCAGAGCATGTGAGTGCAGTGGGGATGTGGACAGATGTATCAGCTCTGAGGGAAAACTCTGCAGTGAGCATGGGCTCTGCAAGTGCAACCGCTGCCAGTGCTTGGATGGCTATTATGGCGTTCTATGTGACCAGTGCCCCGGCTGCAGGACACCATGTGAGAGATACAGGTGAGACCCCATGTCTTGCATAGTGGAAGCTATTGGCACAGTGAGGTTTGCTGAATACCTGCCTGATCTACCTCATGTTGTGGAGTAGGTGAGGGCCACTGGATAAAATTCCCCAGATGAGAACTTATTGACATCCACTTGACAGGGACTGTGCAGAATGTGGGGCCTTTCGGACTGGTCCACTGGCTGCCAACTGCAGCATAGCTTGTGCCCACACCAATGTGACACTGACATTGGCTCCTATCTTGGGTGGTGGCTGGTGTAAAGAGAGGACGTTGGATAAGCAGCTGTTCTTCTTCCTGGTGGAGGAAGAGGCTGGAGGCAGAGCTGTCCTGACAGTGAAGCTTCAGGAAAGTAAGTGTATGGGTTAACTGTGGACATGATAAATGGAGCCCTGGAAGTTTGATGGGTAGGGTTTCAGAACTGGGGGTGTGGATGAGTTGGAAATCCAGGACAAAGGCAGAACTGATGGCCCAAGTGGATGCAGCTAGGCCACACAATAGCAGCCTCATACTCTTCCTTCTAACAAAAGCTGGGGAGGCTGGACACCTTGTCAAGGGCAATTGCCCATCTATCCCTATGCCTTGGCCCCTTCAAAAATCTGTTTTCTTCCTCCCAGAGGAAGCAGACCATACCCAGACCATCGTGCTGGGCTGTATAGGAGGCATTGTGGCAGTGGGACTGGGGCTAGTCCTAGTTTACCGGCTCTTAGTGGAAATCTATGACCGCAAAGAATACATCCGTTTTGAGAAGGAGCAGCAGCAACTCAACTGGAAGCAGGTAAGGACACAGCCTTCTAGCACACTGGGCTGGGCTTTCTTTTTCTTTTGTTGGTCGTGGGGCCTGAACTCTGGGCCTGAATGCTATCCCTCAGCTCTTCAGCTCAAGGCTAGCGCTCTGCTACTTGAGCCATAGCACTACTTCTGGCTTTTTCTGCTTATGTGGTGCTGAGGAATCAAACCCAGGGCCTCATGCATGCGAGGCAAGCACTCTACCACTGAGCCACCTTCCCAGCCCCTGGGCTGGGCTTTCTTTAAAACCTGCTTCTCCTGTTGTGGTCCTGCCTTAGTCTCAGCTTACCACCTAGGTGCTTATGCTTTTAGATAATCTCACAAACTTCCTTCAGCTCCTAGAAGCTCGCTCAAATTCCAGATTGATGTCAGAACTAGATGAGGAAAATAACTGGATTTTCTTTCATAATTTGCAACCTTTTCCCATAGGACAACAATCCTCTCTACCAAAGTGCCATCACGACCACCGTCAATCCCAACTTTCAAGGGACCGATGGTTCCAGTCTTTGAATGGGAAGACATTCACGTAGGGCTCTTTGCTCTGGAAAGACAGTAGGATGGGGGATGATAGGAAACTTATCCACTGTTGTGGAGTGGCTGCTACCTACTTCACCTTCAGGACAAGTTAAGGTGTCAGATTTGCTGCAGCTTAGTTCTCCACCTCAAAGCGGTTTTCTCCCGCGCAAATATACAATAAAGTCTTACATCAGCCTACAGCTCTCACTTTGTTTCACCTTACAAGGCCAAGCAGGTTGCCCACCCTGGGCCTCAAGAAAGCTAATTTACTTGTTCTCTGAACAAGGGGAGATTGGCTCCTGCTGCTGGCCTACCAACAGCTGTTTTACTCCAGGTCTCAAGTGGACTAATGGAACACTGAGAAAAACTGCCTTTGTTTTATTGTGACCCTTCTGTCTTTTTTTTTGTTGTTGGTCGTGAGGCTTGAACTCTGGGCTTGGGTGCTGTCCCTGCGCTCTTCAGCTCAAGGCAAGCGCTCTACCGCTTGAGCCACAGTGCCACTTCTGGTTTTCTAGTGCTTTTATTGGAGATAAGAGTCTCATGGCCTTTCCTGCTCAGGCTAGCTTTGAACCGTGAACCTCAGATCTTAGCCTCCTGAGTAGCTAGGATTACAGGCGTGAGCCACCGGCGCCCGGTAACCCTTCTGTCTTGTTATGTTAGTTTTATTGTCTGATCTGAGGCCATTTTTGTTTCTACTCATTTCTTCTCAGTGAACTTTTTTTTGGGTGTTGGTCCTGGGGCTTGAACTCGGGACCTAGGCAGCGTCTCTGAACTTTTGTGCTCAAGGCAAGAGCTCTACTACTTGAGCCACGGCTCATTTTCTGGTTTTCATGGTTAATTGGAGATAAAAGAGTTTTATGGCCTTTCCTGCTCAGGCTGGCTTTGAGTTGTGATTCTAAGATCTCAGCCTCCTAAATATCTTAGGCTTACAGGTATGAGGCACTGATGTCCATCAGAAAGAGGAGTCTTAGAAGGATGTTTACAGAGGACTCCAAGTTGTGGTTTGTTTATACTGGTGTGTGTGTGTGTGTATGTATGTGTGTGCCAAGAAGGAAAACTACTAAAAATCATTCTGGCCCTCAGGATAGTTTTCCAGAGGAGATGGAACGTAGAAAAGCCCCATTCTTCTTTATTTAAATACCCTAAATATATCACAAAGGAACATACACTGCACTTTAATGGTAAAAAGATACAAGTTTATAACATCTTATAAAAACTACCATTTAAAAGTGATCTTGTTCATTTGATAGTCCCCTCCCCCATAGCAAAATAAGTATATTAAAAAAAAAAAAGGTGGAAAGGGCAGGAAGGGGATTGAAGATAAAAGCCCCAGGGCCATGGCACAGGCAGTGTGCATTGGGGGAGGGTTAAATGCTGTGGTGGGATTCCACTCTTCTAACCCTCAATGTCAAGCCACGGGGCACAATCAATCAGTAGCTAAATGATGACGAGGCTATTGGGGGTGGATGGAAAAGAGGGGTGCTGGGAAGGTAAGACCTGGTGCAGGGGACCATCCAGGGACTGGAACTCTTCCCAAGATTTCCCAAGATTAGGTCCTGAGTGCCTGCCCTGTCTCCATTCCCCTCATTCCAAACACACCTGAGGCATCTTTCCAGTGCTAGTCCCTACCCCAGCAGAAGGTTAGGGCATTGGGTTGAGGAGCCTTTGCAGTGGTCTGTCTGTGGTTTCCACAGGGTAGACATGGGGTTCCTGGGCCCTCCGGGTGGCCAATCATTCTCTACCCCTTTGCTCATCTAGACTCGCATCCACTGCCTCAGAACATCAACATCTGAACAAGTGGACCAATAACCTGCTCCTGAGTTCCCACACCTAAGCCTTGGCAGGGGTGGTTTTGGTATAGCCATTTGCACACATGTTCAGAAAATTCCTCCCCAGGCAGGAAGCCAAGGTCTGCAGGGGCCAGGTCACACTGTTATTTGACTTTTGGGGACAAGGTCTTGCTATGTAGCCCAGGCTGGGCTTGAATTTGCAATTCTTCTGCCTAAGCTTGTCCAGTGCTGGTACGACAGGTGTGCCCCACCATCTGACCTACTACATACTTGTACATGTAGAGGCATGGGTCACTCAAGTGTTTCTTTCCACAAGCATTCTCATCTACCTACAAGTGGAAGGGAAGACGGGTTTCCATTTTCAAAAGCACTTTTGGAAGGGTGAAATTCTTAATGTATCCTTCTTTGCAGAGGTGACTGACAAGAACAATTCTGGCCCCAGCAAAACCTTGTAACAGGAAGGGCTCACATGCAGAAAGATGCCCCTGCTTGCAGGGACCACATCAAATGGGAGTACCAGCATAAAGCTAAAACACAAGGCAATGAACATTTCTCAGCATCTTCCCCAAAAGATTTCAGGTGTTGTCAGAGAAAAGCTAAAGGATGCCATGTCTCCCTTCTTTTTCCCTGAAGTACTGTACCCCTACCTCCTTGGATCAGGCAATAGCCAAGACAATGCTGCTCCTGTCTATTCCCTTATTTTCTGGGCAATGAATACTGCTATCAATGACTATGAAAGATACCATCTCAGATTCCCACCAACAGTTCAGTGCTCAGGCTCACCCAGTCTCCATGATTACTAAGACAGGCCTCCCCTGATTCCCATGGATCAGGGGAGGTCACAGGGGTGGGTGGGGAGGTCAGCCGAACCCTATATCCTCCCCATAAGGATCCTTTCTTTAGCAGAAAGAAGTTTCTTATTTTACTTTAGAAAATCCATGTTTACCTACCCTGGTCTGGATGAAAAACCACCCTAACCACTAGACTGTTGAACCAATCTTTAAAGAAAACAGACAAATAAACAAAAACCCTCTGGAATAATGCCCTTCTGTTTCTGAAATTTGAGTTTCTCAGCTCCTACTGGGACTTAAGCACCCATCAGGTCTGGGTGGGAAAAGGCTGTTTAATGCTCAAACTTCCCTAAACTGACAGCCAAAGAAGAGTTTGGCTCAATAATATGCCATCTCCTCCAAGCATACAAACACAAGCATTCATGTACCATACACAAACACATATCTGATCACCTTTTTGGGGGGTGGGCAGGGTAGTGGTATTGGAGCAGAGGAGCAAAGAGTATGGTTAATAAAATCTACATTAAGTTTCTTCCTGTAGTCCTTTCTCTGTGGCTTGCCTCCCCCCTCATTCTTTATTTGTAGGGATAGCCATCAAGAAGAAAGCCAAGATCTTGTTCTTTGGGACCAATGGCCAAACCCCCATTTTTTTTCTACCTGAATACGGCAATAGGACTTGGACAGGAAGAACAGCTTCTACCACTCAACAGGGTCTACCAATTCCTTCGTTTCTCAAATAGTTATTAGTCAATTTGGGACTGTTTTGGGTTGTTCCTAAAAGGGCATAAGGAAAGAACCCATTCTGACACCCACAACTCCCTGCTCAACACCTCTGTCTAGCTTTAGGAATCAATGACAGTGAGGTAGCCACAAGCCATATCCAAGACCAACTGCCCGAAGGGAAGGGCTTCATGGACCACTCACCCAAGTTTCCTCCAAAAGGCACTTGAGCTGATCCCATCTGGTACTCATGTGGCATTGGCATGGGTCATTACAATACCCATGGTACAAGCTCTTCTCTTGGGGAGGTCAAGAGATACCACTCTTCTTGGATCCAGTCCATTTTCACTTCTCCCACCACCTTTTCTTTTGTCCCTACAGTGTATAAGGCTGCCAAAGTAAGCCAGCCCTGTTTCTATTTTCTCTCAAACAGGAGGTAAGGTGCAGGGCTAGAACACTGTAACTAAGAACTGGACTGGGTGGTGTCCCTGTTTTGGACCAGGACTTTATGCCTTCAGATTACCTGTATCCACAGTTCACCCGCTGAGATTGCTTTTGGATAAACAAACAAACAAAAATAAAACAAGAACAGAACAAACAAATTTCCTTCCCCAATCATTTCCATTTCAGCTGCCAGCTGGAGTCCAAGGTTGTGGGAGCCGTGCTTCAGTCTTGGTCCTTGACCTTGAGTCCTCACCTATAACCTCAGCCAAGGGTTCAGGGATTAGCTCCCCTACCCAGGAATGCTGTAGGAACGTCCCCGAGATTCATAAAGTCTCAGATTATTTACAGAGCTGAGGTTCGGAGCTACTGTCCCGATGCTCTCTTCTGATCTCCTGAGTCCAACCTCCAGGAGGGGGACAAGTTCAGATGGGGCGGCAGAGGCGGCGGCGGCGGGACCATCAGACCAGAGGGGGTGTACTCTTCAGTAAATTCTTCTGATAATTCCCACCACCCAGGGCCCCTTGCACCTATAGTGCAAACTGCCCGTCAGAAGTCTTGGACTGGCAGCCTTGGCACATCCGTTTGTGTCTGAGTAATCGATCTGTCCGAGAAAAACACTGAGAAGAAAGGGAGGGACTCAGATGCCAGTCATCTAGCTCCTTCACACAGAAGGTACATGTCGTATAGTGGTTTAGAATGCAGGTACTAAAGCCAGAGTGCCTGGCTCCAAATCCTGATTCTATCACTACTTGTGTGACTCTGGTAAATTATTTTTAATGGTCCTGAATTTGTCCACTAATCTGTAGGAATAGAATAAATGTAACTACTCACAGTGTAGCTGCTTCATTTATCAACTAATAGCTATTTCATTGGGTGATGGCAGCTCATGCCTGTAATCCTAGCTACTTAGGAGGCTGAGATTCACAGGATCACAGTCCAAGGCCAATTGGCAGAAAAATCAGAGACTTTACCTCCAAAATAAATCAGCAAAAAGCTGGGCTGGAGCCAGGCACTGGTGGCTCATGCCTGTAATCCTAGCTACTCAGGCGGCTGAGACCTGAGGATCACAGTTCAAAGCCAGCCAGGGCAGGAAAGTCCGTGAGACAGTTTATCTCCAAAAATAACCATCAGAAAACTGAAGTGGTACTGTAGCTCAAGTGGTAGAGTGCTAGCTTTGAGCTGAAGAGCTCAGGGACAGTGCCCAGGCCCAGGGTTCAAACCCATGATGGCCAAAAAAAAAGCTGGGCTGGAGGTATGGATCCAATGGTAAAGCACCAGCCAAGCAAGCAAGTCGAGTAACTACGAGGCCTTGAATTCAAACCCTAGTACAAAAAGGAAAAAAGATTGGGGATGGGAAGGTGGCTCAGTGGTAGAGTGATTGCCTTGCATGCATGAGGCCCTGGGTTCGATTCCTCAGCACCACATAAGCAAAAAGAAAAAAGCCAGAAGTGGTGCTGTGGCTTAAGTGGTAGAATGCTGGCCTTGAGCTGAAGAACAGCGCCCAGGCCCAGAGTTCAGGCCACACGACTGGACCCCCCCCCAAAAAAAAAAATAAGAAGGGAAAAAAGCCATTGTACAGATGCAACAAGGGCTTGCTAGGCAAATGCTCTATCACTCAACTCTAATTCTAGCCCCTCACCAAATAGTTTGAACCCTGGGCCTGGGCACTGTCCCTGAACTCTTCAGTTCAAAGCTAGCACTCTTCCACTTGAGCTACAGTACCACATAGCTACTGGGCACGTGGAAAGGGTGGAGATAACCAGGAAAAAAAAGGGTGGAGATAACCAGAGGAACAGTCTTCCTCCTCATGGATTTTATTTTTTTAAAAAACAGGATCTCACTGTTTTTTTTTTTGGTTGGTCATAGGGCCTGAACTCTGGGCCTGGGCACTGTCCCTCAGCTCTTCAGCTCAAGACAAGTGCTCTACCACTTGAACCACAGTGCCACTTCTGGTTTTTTGGAGGTTAAACGGAGATAAGAGTCTCTTGGACTTTCCTGCCTGGGCTGGCTCTGAACTGAGATCCTCAAATCTCAGCCTCCTGAGTAGCTAGCATTACAGGAGTGAGTCACCAGTGCCAGGCCTCCAGGGCTGTCTGTAAACTTACTATCCTCCTGTCAGTGCTGAGACTAGAGATGTGTGCCCCCACATCCAGCTCCACAACTTTCATTTACTGAAATGTTTTTGAAGATTCAATGCAAATATGGAACAAAGCCTGAGACATAGCAAAGCATCAACCAAGGGTTATCTACTACCATTCCTTATCGCTAGTTCTTGTTTTAGTTTTTATATATTCTCATATCAGATACTGACCCTTAGGGCAAAGATTGTATCTCTTCCTTCAAAGCAGGACTGAATAACCAGCTCTGTGTCCTTGATTTGCTGTGTCTCAAAACTTAACCTCTCCAAATCTCACAATATGGGAAATGGGGACAACAAAGCCACAGTTAAGTGACCACTGATACCCCCACCAAAATCTAATGTAACATATGTCCTCACAGTACCCAACACAGAGTATGTGCCTAAGAAATGCTCTTATGGCCGGGTGCAGGTGGCTCATGCCTGTAATCCTAGCTACTCAGGAGGCTGAGATCTGAGGACTGTGGTTCAAAGCCAGCCCAGGCAGGAAACTCCATGAGACTCTTATCTCTAATTAACTACCTGATAAACCAGATGTGGTGCTATGGCTCAAGTGGTAGAGCACTCACCTTGGGCTGAAGAGCTCAGGGACAGCACCCAGGCCCAGAGTTCAAGCCCCACAACTGACAAAAAAAATTAAAAAAATGCTAATAATATTTTAACAAGGTCTCTCCACTATGAGCTATGTAAGGCCAGAGAAATATGGTGTACCAACTACTAAGGAAGCCAGGTAGCTTCCTTGTCAGTCAGGAGTGAGGAGGAGATGGCCCTGGTTCTTGGGGAAAGTAAAGCTTACATACACATGTGGGTTGCTGCAGAAAATGTCATGTGAGCCTTACCTGATGACAACGTTCACACTGGTAAGGCTTTTCGCCACTGTGTACACGCTTGTGGCGTTCCAAGTGGTACTTCTGGATGAAGCGCATGTCACATACATCACACTCAAATGGTTTCTCACCTGGTTCAGGGAGACATAGAAGTACATGTCAGAACATAGATAACAGTAGGGATCATATTCTAGCTATCTTCCCATATGCCTAAGCTATCATAAATGTAGAGGGGACCCCAAAGCTGCCTATCTCAAGGATGCCAAATAAAGAGCCATGCAATCTTTCTACTTCACTCACTTATCCTCTTCCTCCATTTTCTTTCTTTTTTTTTTTTTTGGTTGGTTGTGGGCCTGGGCAATGTTCCTCAGCTCTTCAGCTCAAGGCTAGCACTCTACCACTTGAGCCACAGCGCCACTTCTGGCTTTTTCTGCTTATGTGGTGCTGAGTAATTGAGCCCAAGGCCTCATGCATGCAAGGCAAGTGCTCTACCACTGAGCCACCTTCCCAGCCTCCTCTTCCTTCATTTTTAATACTTCCCCTAGAAAATAAACCCAACCAGTCAGCTACATATCCATACAGAAACTAAGCTATAGACTGTTCTCCCCCTTCGAATACCAGTTTGAATACAGGTATGAGACTTACCAGTGTGAATAAGGATGTGCCTCTTGAGGTGGTAACTGCTCCTAAAGGCTCCAAAGCAGTGTTCACAAATAAAATTTTTGGGAATCTTTACTTGAAAAGAACCATTTTGTTCCACTACCACCACCTGGGGGCAACAATCAGGTAATGTCATGAGGCGCTCCCTCTGCTCTCTTCCTAAAAACCATTCTCTCCTGGGTTCAACAGACAAAGAACCTCTCTGATGCTGTCTCCAAGTGCTGTCATCTGCCACATTCCTCAGGGTTAGGAGCCCCTCTGGGGAAGGAGGTGGTGTGGATAAGCTGCCTATTACGTCACATCCAACACCAAGCACAACCTGAGTTGGAGCTGGCCTGTTCCTGCCAGGAGTAGAGGATGGTCATGTTCTCCCATATGTACCAAGGGTGTCCAGTAAGGGTAGATATCATCTACCGAAGTGTACTTTGGGATGAAATCAGGGATACACACTCACTTGTTGCAAGGGACCAGAGTATTTAGGGACAAAAGAGGAAGATCACCCATTACCAAACTGCATAAGTTTTGGGGTATTACCCCATTACCTGCCTTTTTAACAGTCTTTTTTGAATGAGAGGCCTCAGCCAAGCTGTCATCATCTTTGCGACTCCGGGACTTATCACTGTCTTTCCGGTGACCCTTTGAAAACAAATCAAATCTAAACTCACAGTCCATCTCAGAACACAAGAATGGAGACCAAATACTTGTTTTTGTTGCAAATGAGTCAACTACCTGCCCCAAAATATAAAGTATTCCTTTATTTCCTCTCCATGTACCCTTGTTTTAATGGCCCAACGGTACAGAAAGACCTTCCTTAACTCTCAATACCCATATCTTTCATTCATTCCCAGCTGGATCCCCTTTCCCTACTTCCCTAATTGGAAGCATGGAGGAATCAAAACCTGGTGTCTCCTGGCAGAGAGTTCGGGCCACCCTACCCCCAGGTGCCACAATGGACTCAAGTGCTGTACCTGACTCGAGCACCTCAGCACATCAGGGCTACCTGCCCGCTCGCCATTCTCGGCCTGCTTGCTGGCAATCTGGCTCAGCATCATCTTCTTGCTGGCTGCAGTGGGAACCAAACTCACACCTGCTAGGCCTTCACAAGCCAGGAGACTTGCCTAAGTTGAAAGGAGATGAGGTGTCAGGTCACCTGGCAGGGCAGGGCACATTCTACAGAACTACCTTTCATACCCTGAGACAGACAAGCAACTTCTGTCCAGGGAATACTCATTGCTTCCTTCCACAGTCTTCCCTAACTCATCTCATCAGGAACTAGTTTCTTTTTTTTTCTTTTTCTTTCTTTTTTTTTTGTTCCTCAGCATTTACATTCTGATTGAGTTAATGTTCAAGAAGTATCTACACTTTTTTGGAAGATGGTGCTGGTACTAGGGCTTGAACTTAGGGCCTTGTATACATACTCAGTTTTTTCACTGTTTTAGCACTCTACTACTTGAACAATTTCTATCTTTCTGGTAGCTAACTGGAGATACGAGTCTCAAGGATTAAATCCTCTGCACCAAGATCCTCAGGTCTCAGTCTCTTGAGTAGTTACAAGTGTGAGCCATCAGTACCTGGCTGTATCTACACTTTGATCATTAGTGCTGTGGCAGGTGCAGCATGTCTATTATATTGAAGGTCTTTCTTTTTTTGGTGCCAGTTCTGGGGCTTGAACTCAGGGCCTACGTGCTGTTCCTGAGCTTTTGTGCTCAAAGCTAGCACTCCTACCACTTGAGCTACAGCTCTATTTCCAGCTTTTTTGCTGGTTAATTGGAGACAAGAATTTCATGGACTTTCTTGCCTTGGCTGACTTTGAACCATGATCCCTCAGATCTAGCTTCCTGAGTAGTTAGGATTTAGGTGTGAGCCACTGGTGCCTGGTTTCTTTTTTTTTTCCTTCTCTTTTCTTTCTTCTCTACTCTTCCTCCCTCCCTCCTTTCCTTTCTTCCTTCATGGTACTGGGGTTTGAATTCAGAGCCTTATGCTTACTAGGCAGGTACTATACCACTTGAATCATCTCCCTCACCCCAGCCCTTTATGCTCTAATTTTCATGTAGAGTCTCAGGTTTTTTGCCCAGGGCTGGCCTCAGAAGGTATTTACAAGCTGCAACTACCAACAGCTATGAAGGTCTGTCCAGCAGACCCACTCTGGTGGGAGATTCCCAGCTAGACTTTACTCCTCCCTCTTTCAACTTCCCTAGTTCACTTTATTTATTATTTTTTGGTCGATCATGGAGCTTGAACTCTGGGCCTGGGTGCTGTCCCTCAGCTCTTCAGCACAAAACTAGAGCTCTATCACTTGAGCCACAGCACCACTTCCGGTTTTCTGGTGGTTAATTGGAGATAAGAATCTCATGGACTTTCCTGCCTGGGCTAGCTTTTGAACCATGATCAACAGATCTCAGCCTCCTGAGTAGCTAGGATTACAGGTGTGAGCCACTGGCGCCCAGCAAGTTCACTTTATTTATTTTTTTTTTGTGTGCTGGTCCTGGGGCTTGAACTCAGGGACTGGGCTTGGGTGCTGTCACTAAGATTTTTTGCTCAAGGCTAGCACTCTATCACTTGAGACACTTTTGGCATTTTGGTAGTTAACTGGAGATAAGAGTCCCACAAACTTTCCTGCCCAGGCTGTCTTTGAACCACAATTCTTAGATCTTAGCCTCCTGAGTAGCTAGGACTATAGGTGGGAGCCACTGGCACCCAGCAAGAGTTCACTATTACTTTTTTTTGCCAGTCCTGGGGTTTGAACTCAGGACCTGGATGCTGTCCCTAAGCTTTTTGCTCAAGGCTAGCCCTCTATCACTTGAGCCACAACTTCACTTTTTAAAAAAAAATTTATTGGAGATAAAGAGTCTCATGGATTTTCCTGCCTGGGCTGGCTTTGAAACGTGATCTCAGATCTCAGCCTCCTGAGTAGCTAGGATTACAGGCATAAGCCACCGGTGCCCAGCTAAGATTTCAGTTCTGATTGACTGGTACATTTTGCTGGTGCCAAATCTGAGGTTCTCCGTTTAGATTGTCGATTTCCTAAGTATTAATTGCAGCAGATATAAAAACTAAACCATTAGGATGGATTCTTGAATAAATATACAATTTCCCACAATCCTTAGGTCATTTATATGAGTACATGAATCACATTTTTTTTTCACATTCTGTGCTCCACATAGTTAAAATTACCTTAAGCAAAGGATGTTTAAATAACCTCTTTTGGGCTGGGAAGGTGGCTCAGTGGTAGAGCGCTTGCCTTGCATGCATGAGGCCCTGGGTTCGATTCCTCAGCACCACATAAGCAAAAAGAAAAAAGCTGGAAGTGGCGCTGTGGCTCAAGTGGTAGAGTGCTAGCCTTGAGCTGAAGAGCTGAGGGACAGCGCCCAGGCCCAGAGTTCAGGCCCCACGACCGGACCCCAAAACAAACAAATAACCTCTTTTCACCGCTCTATTCTTGGAACTGACTTTGTTTAGTCAGGACTCATGAATATACACTTTTTTGGGGGGAGGTATTGATTGGTACTGGGGCTTGAATTTGGGGCCTGAGGCTTTCACTTGGCCTTTTTGCTCATGGCTGGCACTCTACGACCTGAGCCTTACCTCTACTTCCAGCATTTTGCTCGTTAAATGGAGATAAAAGTCTCACAAACTTTCCTGCCTAGGCTGACTTTAAAACACAATCCTCAGATCTCAGCCTCCTGAATAGTTAGGATTACAGGAGTGAGCCACCAACACTGACACTCACACACTGACTCACACTGACACACACACACTGACACACACACACACACACACCCTGAAGAAAACCTTTTTATGAATACCTTTTCGAATGATCAGTTTATTTTGGGACCACTTTCAGGGACTTTGGAGTAGCAGATCTGGAGTTTAATCTGAACTGTGCTGTTTGTGCTATGTAATCTTGAGCAATTTACTTAAATACACAATGCCTATTGTAGTGTCTACCCTCACAAGGTCTATGAGAACTAAAGTATGATGTAAAAGGTTTAGCTGTGTCCAGCACTAAGTTACTGGTTAGCAGAGGCGGCCTTTTCAGAACAGGACTGAACACATTGCTGTGGAGTGGGCTGCAAACAAAGGAAGAAGAAACCAAAGGGTTTCTAACTCTGCATGGAGAGGAGGAAGCTGTGCATGCAGAAGCAGCTGGAAGAAAGCCAATTACAGTATAATCAGGCTGCCATCCTGGTGAGACTGGAAGGGGAGGTTCCCTGAAGAAAGCTCTGAGAAGCTCAGGAGATGTGTGCACTTAATCTTTTCCACTCAGATGACTGTAACAGCAATCCGGTCACTTTGTCCTTCCAATACATCTGCCACTCCAACAATGACAATAATCTTCTAAATACATTGATTTGACATTACCCTGCTGCTTAACATTGTTTAGGGAGTCTCCATTCACTAGAGAATGGTTTTAATTCTTTAGCAACATATAAAAGGCCCTTGGGTCACAGTCTACTGACTTCAGGAAAGAACTCCCCATACATTATTACAATCTCCATTTAATTTTTTTGTATTTTATCAAACTTGTAGTGCCCTGACTCTCATTACATTCCCCCATGCTATGCTTCTAAGCCTCTGTTCACACACTTCCACTTGTCTGAATGGCCTTCTCTTGTTTATCTGCCAAAATCCTTCAAGCTTCATTTCCAACCAGACAGGAATATCACTGCAGTGTACATACCTCTACTATTGAACATTTCTTCTATTAAAATATTGACTCTATAGTACTAGCCAGCCATTATGCAAGGCATTGTGAATATAAATAACAGACCATCTTTCTAACCCCTGCCCCACTCCCCCACTAGCCTGGAAGCTTGCTGGGGACAAGGACAATCTTATTCCTCTTTGTATTCACAACACACAATGCCTTACATATAATAAATAAAAGGAGCTCAATAAATTTCTGTTGAAAAGACAACAACAAGAGAAGCATTCACCAGTCTATTCACTCCTTCATGCCCCTCAGCACTTAATATACCAAATGTACACCAGTACATTTTGCTTTGCAAATGTCCCATCAATGCCTAAGATGTAGTATAGCCTACCTCCTTCATTTGACTGGAAGCTCCCTGAAGGCAGGGGCTGTGGCCTGTCTCCTTTCTTTCCTCTAGATCTCCCCCTGGTGCTTAATACAGAGCTTGGCTCACTGGGGTTGGTCAATATAGTTGACTAAGGCAGCATTCAAGAGTGACACTGCAAACAGGCTTCCCAGTGAATGATCTTGAAGGAGGACTCTAGAGCTTTTTACCTGAGCCATGCTGATTTTTTTCAATTAATGAACCCAATAGTTCAGGAGTTCCTTGTTCCAGCTTTTCTTAAGACACTGTCGTTTGAAGAACTGTCACCAAATCACAGTAATGGCTCCTTGATGTCCTTTCAGTCCTGCTGCCATACTGAACTGTCTTTGTCTTCCAAAAGAATTTAGTGTCCTCCAATGGGAAATCAGGTGTTCCAAGAATCCCTGGTTTCTGTCTGGCTTTTGCCTATTGTCTGAAGAAAAGAGAGTCTGCCAGTCTTAAAGTTTTCCAGTTGAATTTTCTGGATGAAGCTCTAGATGTGTTCCACAAATCTGAAACTAGAAAAGGAGAAGGGGCCCTTAAGTGCAACATCCTCAGTCCACAGAACAAACAGCAGGCTGAGCTCCCCCTACTCCCCCTCTGAGTGCTCTGTGAAGCTGAGAAAGAGGAGTCAAAAAGAGCTTTTTCTTTTCTTTTTTCTAGGTCAGAAGAAATTTGTCTCCTGGGCATAGAGGAGCGGCCAAAAAGAGCAAAAGTAAGTGGAACCTCCTATGGAGAAACTCGGCCAACAGAGCAACTGTTTGGATTTGCCATCTTAGGAATGGAAGAAGGGGGCGGAGGCCCTCTGGGGCTTTTGTGCCGAGTGGGCTGGCCCGCCAAGCCAGCACTCTCCAGAGGCGGGCAGAACCCGAGGGGAGAAAAGCTCTGTGGCCATCGCCGGGCTCCGGATTGGCGAGCGGAAACCAAACCAGCTGTGCCCACAAGCGCGCGTTCTCCGAGTCCGCCCCAAGGTACAGAAATTCGCGGCGGGGGTGGAAGGCGGGCAAACGAAGCCCCGCGCGGCGCGTTCCCTCCCACCCTCCTTCTTTCCAGCCAGCCAGGCGGCCGCAGCGCCGGGCTCCGCAACCCAGAAACCCCAACCAGGGCCCGCCAGCGCCGAGCGGCGGCGGGAGGTGCGTGCTCGCGCCCGAGTCTCCTCCCAGCGAGCCCCCGGGGCCCGGGACGCGGCGGCCCGCGCGCGCACGCGCGCGCACACGCGGCGGGGGGGGAGGGGAAGGGAGGGCGGCGCGCGCGCGCGGCCGTCCTTCCCCAGCCCGAACCCCCTCCCTGCGCCACGCGCCCCTCCTCCTCTCCCCTCCCCCTTCCCGCGCGGCGACCCACGGCCTGCGAGCTGCTGAGGTACTGCCGTCCGCCGGGACGACGCTGCGCTCCCTGGGGCGTGCGCCTACCTGCCAGACGCGGCTTCCCGCTGTCTCCTCAGTCGTGCGGCGCCTCCTTCAGACCCCAGCACATCGTGCCAAACCCGCGGCTGCCGCTGCCCCCGTCGGGACCGAGGCAAGTTTACAAACACCAACCCGGGGCCCGTTTCCCCGGAAGCACTTCCCCCTCCCCCTCGTCCTCTCCGCCGAGCGGCAACTTGCACTTCCGGGCTTTGGAGCCTGGACTGGCGGGGACAGCCCGAAAAGGGGTGAGGCTGGGGACGCGCGGTGCGCTGCAGCTGGTGGGTGGGCGGAGCGGTCCGCGGGAGAACGAGGCCCGGCGCGCCGCGCGTGCGCTCTGACGCGTGTGTGCCTTGGCCGCCATCTTGACTGAGGGCAGGAACGAAGTCTCCGAAATCGCTCAGCTCCGGGTGCTCATTGGGTAGCTGCACAAGACTAGAAAAAGCGCGATCTCTACCTTACATCGCTTTTTGTTGAGACCCAAGTAGAGGACGGAATAGTTTGTACCCTGATTTTTTTTTTTTTTGCTTTCACTTAACTAGGCCACATTTGTCTTTCTGTGAGCTTTGGGTCTTCACCTGCACGTTTTGGGAGGAGTTAATCTTTGCACCGTCCAGTGATGTACACTCAGTGTGTCTGAAAATGAACACTTTCTCGAAGGCGTTCCCTAAGTATCCGAAGCCATCCTGCTCACGCCCGTGCAGAAGTTATAACCCTACACGCGAAAGCCACCCTGGTTATTACTTTCTAGCCTTCCCCTTTTATTCCTAGTGGTCTCCTCCCTGCAAAAGGCCTCTCAGTAAACCAATCTTGTTGAAGGCTTGGCCAGGTAGTTTGGCCCCTAAACCTGGGCTGCATGCAAAAAATGGAAAGATGAGCCAATCTTCAAATTTTACCCCATTAGAGAGAGGTTTTGCTAAAGATGAGTTGGGGAACCTCAAATATACATACATACATACATACATATATATATATGTATACACACATATACATATATATGTAATTTTATTACTATTAAGGTGTTAATACAGAGAGGTTACCTTTTGTAAGTCAGGTAATAAGTACATTTCGTTTTGGCATCCCTTACTTCTTCCCCCAGGTACTCCCTCCATTCACTGCCCACAAGTTGGGCAGTTCATTTTCCACAGTGTCTACTGAGTACCATGCTTTTATTTGTTCATCCTTTCTTCCTCCATTTCTTTGTCTTCCCTTGCACCCTCCAAAAGAAGGAAAAAAGAACAAACAAAACAAAAAACCAAAAAAGCCTAAACAACACTACCACCACCACCAACAACAACAAAAATCCCCTATGTTTCCATTTCCTGAAATTTGTTTAGGTAGTGTTTTAAATGTTTGGAGTCATTATGCCTTTGACTGGGAAACCCTTTTTGTTCCCCACTCTTGTCAGGCTGAGTATGGCCCTGTGGAATCATTTGGTGCTTGACAGAACAGAAACTTTATGCTTCTATTCTATGGCCCTCAAATAATCTTACAAATATCCAAGTAACCCTTGACAAACAAACAAAAAGCACACTAAAACAGTTACCCAGCTCTGGCAAAGTGCACGTGCCAGAGGAAAATTTGTAAGTACTGATTTCTATTCTGTGTGCATAAAGTTGTGAGTTTAGGGAAATTAATGATGATACCAAAATAAAAAATCTTTAGGATATAAAAAGACAAAGATAGAGGGGTGCTGGTGGCTTGTGTCTGTAATCCTAGCTGCTCAGGAGACTGAGATCTGAGAATCTTGGTGCAAAGCCAGCTGGGGCAGGAAAATCCATGAGACTCTTAGCTCCAATTAACCACCACCAGGAAATGGGAAGTGGCACTGTGGCTCAAAGTGGTAGAGCACTAGCCTTGAGCAAAAGAGCTCAGGTACAGCTCACTGGCCCTGAGTTCAAGCCCCACGACTGAAAAAATAAAAATGTGTGTGTGTGTGTGTGTGTGTGTGTGTGTGTGTGTGTGTGTGTGTGTGTGTGTGTGTAGACAAAGATTCCTTGAGCTCTTTGTATTTTGGAGCAAGCTCTTAGACTCATCCTAAAGCTGAAATAAGATGGATAATAAAAGAGAAAAATGTCAATAGAAATTAGTTTCTAGTTTTTAAAATTTTTTTTTCTGTGATATTATAAAGGTGATGCACAGATAATGAGTACATTTCTTTTTGGATAATGTCACCCCTTACCTTGCTCTCTTCCAGTTTTCCCCTCCTGTCTCCACCTACAAGTTGTATAGTTCATTTTCATGATAGTGTCAATGAGTACCACTGCTGCATTTGTTTATCCTTTGTCCCTCCATTTCTGAGAGTCTCTAGTTGTTGTTATTGTTTTTTGCTGGTCCTGGGGCTTGAACTCAGGGCCTGGGCTCTCTCTGAGCCTCTCTGTGCTCAAGGTTGGTGCTTCAAGGTGATAGTACAGAGGGGTTACAGCTGTATCTGTAATGAGTACATTTCTTGTGAACATTGTTACTCCGCTCCCTCACTTTTCTCCCACTTTCCCTCCTCCCAAATACCCCCCTCCCAGTCTCTAGGGTGTTTTTTGGTCCTGGGGACTGAACTCTGGGCCTGGGGCACTGTCCTTCAGCTCTTCAGCTCAAGGCTAACGTTGAACTACTTGAGCTACATACAGTACCACTTCTGGCTTTTTCTGCTTATGTGGTGCTGAAGATTTGAACCCAGTGCCTCCTCATGCATGCAAGGCAAGCATTCAACCACTGAGCCACCTTCCCAGCCCCCAGTCTCTAGTTCTTAAAAACAGTAGCCTACACTTATTTTTACCAATGGACAGAACACAAAATAGTAAAGGCAAAAGTATTTAGTCACCCTCTTTACCATCTCATGCTCCTGAAGATAATAATTCTTTTCAGTTTTTTATTATTTATTCATGTGCTGTTGTTATTATTACTTAGTGCTAGGAATGGCACCCAGGTGCTCTGTCATTCTAGGCAAACTGTCTGCTACTGACCTACACCCCTATCCTATTCTAATCAGTTTGATATACTGTTACCTCCACGCTTTTTTCTATGTTCACATGCATATTTTTTCATCTAGTACATATTTATTGATCACTGTAATCTGTTATATGAAATATATTAGACATCTAAGTCAGTTTACATTTAAAAAATTGTTTCATGAGCTGAGCATTGGTGGCTCATGACTATACTCCTAGCTACTTAGGAGGCTAAGATCTGAGGATCACCGTTCAAAGCCAGCCCAGGCAGGAAAGTCTGTTAGATTCTTTTTTTTTTTGTGGGGGGGGTCCGGTTGTGGGGTCTGAACTCTGGGCCTGGGCGCGGTCCCTCAGCTCTTCAGCTCAAGGCTAGCGCTCTACCACTTGAGCCACAGAGCCATTTCCGGCTTTTTTTCTTTTTGCTTATGTGGTGCTGAGGAATCGAACCCAGGGCCTCAGGCATGCAAGGCAAGCACTCCACCACTGAGCCAACTTCCCAGTCCCTTCTGTTAGATTCTTATCTCCAGTTAACCACCAGAAAACTGGAAGTGGTACTGTGGCTCAAAATGGGTAGAGTGCTAGCCTTGAGCAAAAAGAGCTCAGGGACAGTGACCAGGCCCTGAGCTCAAGACCCATGACTGAAAAAAAAAAAATCATGAAGGAGAATGAAAATGTTGAAGGGGTGACACAGATGAAAATGTGCTCTCCCTCCCTGCCCTCTGTGTGTGTGTGTGTGTGTGTGTGTGTGTGCATATATGTATATATATATATACACATATATATATACATATACACATGTATATATACATATATAAACATACATGTATATGTATATATGTATATACATATATAAAACATCTGCTTTGTTAAAGGCAAAAAAAAATCATTACATATCCCACAAAATTAAGAAAAGTGAAGGAAGGGTTAGGTTGGGAAGGTTGAGTGAGACTGTTGGAAGGGATGACATTGAGCAGGATGTACTGTACTCATAAACTGCTTATTGAATGGCAATTCCTTTGTACTACTTAAAGAAAATAAAAATACTAAAATTTTATTTTTCATAAATAGAGATGATATATGTCTGTAGCCACAGGTACCTGGGAGAGTAAGGCAGGATGGTTGCTTGAGCCCAGGAGTTTGGAGGTCAGCCTAGACAGTATAATGAAATTATGACTCAAACAAAATGAAGCAAAACAAAAACACCAAAAAAATTTCCCTAGTTCTTGTATTGTATTCAAATTTATGTTTATACTTTCATTTATATAGTTAGATCTTGATGAACATTTAGGTTTCAGTTTTTTTGCTTTATAAACAATGCAATAATGAACACCGTTATAGTTATCTTTTTGTATTTGTAGATACAATATGTGTTTTGTTTTTTTGATTTGTCCCTCAGCTCTTCAGCTCAAGGTTAGTGCTCTAACACTTGAGCCACAGTGCCAATTCCAGCCTTTTCTGCTTATGTGGTGCTGAGGAATCAAACCCAGGGCCCCATGCGTGCAAGGCAAGCACTCTACTACTGAGCCACCTTCCCAGCCCCTGTGTTTTAAAAATTTTAATAGAGTCTGTGCCATTGAATTTCAAGTTGGTAGCAGCTGACATGCTCACTCAGATCATGTGTGAATGTCACCAATTCCTACAACCTGAGTGATACTGGAGATTATAACAAAAAAATTAATTATTGTTGCTGGGTGCCAGTGGCTCACACCTGTAATCCTAGCTACTCAGGGGGCTGAGATCTGAGGATCACAGTTCAAAGTCAGCCCAGGCAGGAAGTTCTGTAAGACTTTTTTTTTTGGTTGGTCATGGGGCCTGAACTCTGGGCCTGGGCGCTGTCCCTCAGCTCTTCAGCTCAAGGCTAGAACCCTACCACTTGAGCCACTGTGCCACTTCCGGCTTTTTCTGCTTATGTGGTACTGAGGAATCGAAACCAGGGCCTCATGCATGCGAGGCAAGCACTCTACCACTGAGCCACCTTCCCAGCCCCTATGAGACTCTTAACTCCAATAAACCACCAGAAAACTGGAAGTGGTGCTGTGGCTCAAGTAGTAGAGTACTAGCCTTGAGCTGAACTGCTCAGGGACAGTGCCCAGGCCCAGAGTTCAAGGCCCCATATGGACCCCCCAAAAATTAATGTATTGTTATTACAGAGGT